ACAAAACAGTAACAAGTGGTTGTGTAATCAAATAATGTGTTTCTAGATTGATAATATTGAATATCAGGTTTGTACTTTTATTAAAAACCTTGTAACACAAGAATTACCTGTTGGTCCTGTCTTACCCCATGCCCGGTCCCATCTTACCCCAGTGGGGTAAGATGGGACCAGCTCACTTTTTTTAATCTGTACAGAAAACTCTGTTGTATGCAGAAAGTCTGAGTTGTAGCTTAGAAGCCCATTGCATAACTACACCTTGTGATAGGTTTAGGGTTTTTTATTTATTCATGGTATAGATGCTACATGCTTGTTAGTGATTTCGGTCCTGTCTTACCCCATCTGACTATACTCCACATTATTAGTAGAGGAATTTTCTTTTGAACTTTCAGCAATTCAAGAGAAACTATATAATTAGTGCATAAGAAGAAATTGTTGTATGAAAGCACATCTACAACATTTATGATAGTTAGGAATCCTGCTATATGTTAGATCCAGAATTAATTTAACATATCCAAGTTAAAGAAAGATATGTTCTTCCCCAAATTTATACTAATTCAAAATCTGAATTAAATTTTTCATGAATCCTTTCCCTCCCAACATTGCAATGCCATGCTATTCTCCCACCAATGATAAATGTTTTAATCCAGGCTATATACCAACAAAATAAGTATCCTGGATATGTGCTCCAACAGCCCTTGTATATTTATGATGTCATAAGTATCTTAGATATGTGCCACAACAGCCCCTATATATTGTGGTGCCATAAGTTTCCTGGGTTCATGCCCCAGCATCAGCTATATATTGTGACGCATTAGTATCCTGGATATGCACCCCATCATCCCCTATATATTTGTGGTTCCAGCAGGGTTGGCAATGATTAAATCAAAATGATTAAATCATGTGATTAAATCACTTGATTTTTTTATAAAAAAATCATGATTTTTTTGATTTTTTCGATTTTTTCGATTTTTTTGATTTTTTCATATATTTAAAAATATTGAGTGGCAGTCTTTAATTTATATTGAGGTATTGTTATTCAAGATTTAGTATAAATGTACTATGAATGACAAATTGGTATATAAACATGTTGCCTTTAGTGTATATTAGGTTCCAATAAATTGAATGTTTTTGGTACAGAGGCATCAAGAGTGCAATACTGCAATACATTGTACGTAGCTAGCAGCTTAGCTAATTCTTATAAGGCTATAAGTAGTCTTAACTATTTGGCTATTTGTTTTATATTGATTACAATATACAATTTAAATGTGTTAGCTAGCTTATACAGGATGGGGCAGAACTGATTGTACAGTTTTGAGGCAAAATAAAAGAGTAACGGAGGTACATAAAGAAGAAAGTTTATTTTTCTCATGATTAACATAACATACCATTTAAAATACTTATGTTTTGAAAACAATATCAGGAAGATGGGGTTTGTTAGCTGTAACACACTGTTGGAGTTGTTCTCGGAAGTTTCCTACAGCATGTTCACACATATGGCGAGGTATGGCCATAACCTCTGCTGCAATAATCCCTCCCCTTAGCTGTAGTAGGGTGTGAGGGGGACTTCTGAACCCCTTTCTTTTAGATGTCCCCAAAGAAAGAAATCACAAATGCTCAAATCAGGTGACCTCGCAGGCCACTGTAAATCACCCCTCTGAGACACCAGACGTCCGGGAAACATGCGTTTCAAAACATTGAGTGACATTCGAGCTGTGTGAGCTATAGCCCCATCCAGCTGGAACCACACGTCTCCCAATGCTTCATTTCAACAATGTTTTCCATCATGTGCTGCAAGAAATTTTGCAACATTGCAGCATAGCAATCGGAATTCACTGTCATGGTTACTCCCTCCTCTGAAAACGACTCCAACAGTGTATTGCAGCTAACAGCCCACATCTTCCAGATATTGTTTTCAAAACATAAGTATTCTAAATGGTATGTTATGCTAACTTCTAGGAAAATAAACTGCCTTCTTTATGTACCTCCATTACTCTTTTATTTTACCTCAAAACTGCTCAATCGGTTCTGCCCCACCCTGTATATTGAGAGGTTGAGATTGTATTGACCTTTTAGGCAATTAGAAAGTTTTTCCACCCTAATACAAGTATTCTAATTAAAATATTTAATTTCACTACCTATCTGTTATGTGACTCTTCAATGTTTAGGAGATCTGCATTACTGAAGTGTTTTTGTATATTGAAGCCAGTTAAATGGTCAATATTTAGCTCATAACCTTGCTCCATACAAACTTTACAAAGCTAATGAATAGACTGATCAATAATAGTTTACCCAAAAATCCCAAAATGGTAAACACCACCTTGTCCTGTTGGCCATTATTGAAGGCAATAAGTGCCCTTTTTAGCCATCCATTATGATCCATATACTGTTATTGTTAGTAGGCTAATTGCAACATAAAAAATAACACCTCAAAAAAGACAAAAAAGCTGAAAAAATAAAAAAAATCAAAAAAATCATGAAAAAATCAAAAAAATCATTGATTTTTTATTTTTTTGATTTTTTTAAAAAAATCAAAAAAATCGCCAACCCTGGGTTCCAGGCTTATGACACACAAATGTATTAGATGACATACACAAATGTACACTGTATTAGAATGTTCTCTGTGTTGCTACTCTGTATTACAATGTTTTCTTTGTTGCAGGAGGTGGAACAAGATGAGTGCAGTGAGGAGCTCAAGCCCCAACAATTTACAAGAATTATTTCCTGTTGCCTTTGCGTTTGAGTCTGGCCATTCCCCGCCGCTGATACGGGGGCAGGCATTGAGTCCTACCTTAGAGCCTGATGGCCTCACCACCCCTCGCAGTGCACCCCACCTCCCCAAGACCTATTATGTCACTCCCCAGGTCTACAATGAGGCCCCAGAGCAGTGCCCTGACAACTTCACCAGCAATGAAGCCAATATTGAGGACCTCATGAACTTGCTGAGCAGCCCACACCCTTTACATGATATAGAGGCGCAGAACGATCCTGAGCAGGAATTTCCAGTCATGCCCTTACCAGACCAGGCAAGCCTCTTTAGCTCGCATGAGCCAAGGGCTGCATCTGCTCACCCTCTCCTAAATGAGAGTGGTGATGAGCCACTGCCTTCACAGAGCTGCCGAGTTGTTAGGCTCCCCTGCACCCCACATCCACGCAGCATCTGTTCCGTGAAGCAGGGATGCAAACGTTTGTCAAGCAGCGCTTCCAGAAAACTCAAGAGCCGCAGAAGTCACTCCAGGCAATACGTCAGTTCTGAAGTGGTTGAAATAGAGATATATTCCCAGTCGGACTCATCAGACGATTCAAGCTCCTCCTCAGACTCACCGCCAGAGTCTCCAGTCCCAGTAAGGAATGGCGCCATGAGTCGCCGTTGCTCCAGCAGACGAGTGGATGATGCCCCATCTGCTCCAGACCTACAGCTGGACTGGCTATCATCCTCTGACAATGATACGGACTCTGACTCTGTGGTGGAGCTAACAAACAGCATGCCTGCTCGCGCTGTCTCTGTGGTTGACCTCACCAATGAAAGTGGTGATGAACAGCACACTTTAGAGAGACAAAATCAATCCATCCTTGCTGAGAGACGTTCTTTAATTAATGCTGACTCTTCCGTGCCTTGCGTTGCTTTAAAACCTTTATTGCTTCGCGACTCAGATGACTCTCGGCCACTGGAAAATTCTTCTCATCCAAATATAAATACAAGCGAAAACCATGCAAGTTTCAGTGGTGCTCATTTGCACCAGAACTCCTTAGGTGCCGCTGGTCTGTCAGCCAGTGCAACTGTAGGTGGAGAATTTAATGACCATAGGACATCAAATTACAATAATCAACACAGATCTTCACATGCAAACTCAGAGGAATTTGCTCATGAGGCAATGGAGCCAGCTTTCACGTGTGCAAGAAATTCTGGGAACGTCGGTCCACGCATCGCTCCTGACGAACCCCCTGCCTCCATGACGTCTCGGGAAGCCCTTACTGGCACTCGGCATCATAGCCTCCCAGATTTCCATGTAACACGCAACAGATCACAGGTCCCTGCAAGCAATCACAACGACCCTTGTTTCCATCGCTCCCTTGCAGAAGTGAGGGCCCCATCAGCACATACTGTGGGGAATGCACACCTTACAGCTACTCGGCCTCACAGGGATTACTTCCAACAATTTAATAACTCCACTTCTGGCTACCGTTTGGCCTCGTCACCCACCCGTCACACCATTGACCGTCAGGGCCCGTGGGTCAGATCGCGCCGTGAGTCGGCCTTTTCACGCCTGCCTCTCCATCACCAAAGCCTGTGGCTGAGTCAACAGAGGGCAGCTGAAGTTAACCGGATGAGGATGGATCCAAGTTACGGCATGGCTCCTGTTGATCAAGTGCACCTTCTGCCTCCTAGACACTACAACTCGAGCTCTGTGTACAATCGTAACTTTGACTACATGGGTGGGGAACCAGATTATTCTGAGCCACCTCCCCTCAGTAGGTCTTTCAGCTCCGGCCTTGAGCCTCAGACCCCCGTGTCTGCAGCACACATGGCCAGAGACGATGTGGGCAATCCCCCAGACATGCGCATGGCCAGGCTGAGGGCCGCTAGGAACCACTTAGCTCTTCCCTCGGGCACTGCTCACAACAATGGCGAACATCAGAGGGCCGTCTTCGCAGAACTAGATGGTGATACTATCAGAACTAGATGGTGAGTGGTGCTGAATTAGAGGGTGGGTGGTGTAGAACTAGAGGATGACTGAGCAGTGCAGAACTAGTGGGTGAGCATTGCAGAACTAGAGGGTGAGCAGTGCAGAACTAGCAGTGCAGAACTAGAAGGTGAGTGGTGCAGAACTAGAGGGTGAGTGGTGCTGAACTAGGGGGTGAGTGGTACTGAACTAGAGGGTGAGTGGTGCAGAACTAGAGGGTGAGCAGTGCAGAACTAGAGGGTGAGCAATGCAGAACTAGAGGGTGAGTGGTGCAGAACTAGAGGGTGAGTGGTGCAGAACTAGAGGGTGAGTGGTGCAGAACTAGAGGTTCTGTTGTCCAATTGATTTAAAATTTTGCACACTTGCGTAAAGTTGGAGACAATGCCTGAATCAATTGACAGAATTAATAATTTAGATATTTTAAATTTTTTTATATATATGAAAAAATTCAAAAATAATTATTCTTTCAATATTTTAAAATAAAATTAGAAATTCATTGTACCTGTGTAACATCGGACATACTGGATTCTTTAGAAGTGTTGTCTTCGAAAAGTAATTTTTAGACAAATATTATTTAAGCATAAATTTTAAGTGTTAAGACTTTGAAACTTTTTATCTGACGTGATGAGTGGCTAGTAGGTTGGTGCAATTAGTGATGTGGATGATGAAGCCAGGTGATAAGTGATGCCCTTGACGTATGCCATCATGTGTGATGCTCCTAACGTTGTCCAGGTCTGACATGGATGAGGGCGCCAGCACCTCCCATCCTTTCGATGCTCCTGCCTCTCACCACCTCGGCGCCTCCGCCCCTCACCCTCTCGTTGCCTCCACCTCCCACCCTCTCGGCGCCTCCGTCCCTCACCTTCTCGGTGCCTCTGCCTCCCACCCTCTTGGCGCCTCTGCCTCCCACTCTCTCGGCTCATCCGCCTCCCACCCTCTTGGCTCCTCTGCCTCCCAACCTCTTGGCTCCTCCGCCTCCCACCCTCTTGGCTCCTCTTCCTCCCAACCTCTTGGCTCCTCTGCCTCCCACTCTTTCGGCTCCTCTGCCTCCCACTCTTTCGGCTCCTCTGCCTCCCACCCTCTCGGCGCCCTCGCCGCGTCGCGCTCTGGCCACCGTCGCAATTTTCTGCTGGACCGCCACTTGGCTCGCCCTCGCCATCCGTCACGTGGTGCCTTTGATGGCAGTGGAGCCGCCGTGTCGCACCACCACCATCATCACCACCACTACAATACCTCACAGCAATTGCCCCTCAACTTCCCCATGCCCAGCTTTGTGCCCGAGCTGCCGCTGCCTCCCCCGCCTCCCGTCTTCTCTTTTGTTTCCACTGAAAGAACTGATGGTTATTCGATGAACCCGCAGGTGAGTCTTGGGATTCATGCAATAAGCCTGCAGATAAGCTCTTTTGTCCACGCCTCTTTTGTCCACGCCTCTTTTGTCCACACCTCTTTTGTCCACGCCTCATTTGTCCACATCTTTTTTGTCCACGCCTCATTTGTCCACGTCTTTTTTGTCCACGCCTCATTTGTCCAGTCCATGCCCATCGATCGTGAACGCCTCTTTTGTCCACTTTTTTTATCCATGTCCATTGATCACGCCTCTTTTGTCCACGCCCATTGATCAGATCTCTTTTTGTCCACGCCCTTTATGTCCACGCTCCTTTTGTTCACGCCCACTGATAACGCCCCTGCCGCAGGGTGGGCCGCTGGACGTCAGCTTCGCCGGCTTTGAGAACATCGTGCGGATGATGCGACTCAACCAGCACCGCGACTCGCTGCTCACAGTCGGCGCCTCGCAGGCCACTATCGAACGAAACACCCTGGCTCACCGATACATCATCAGGGTGAATAGAGACACTATGGCATGGATTGTAACACAGTAGAGTAAGTACTGGCAGGGTGGGTGAATGCTGAAGAGGCGGGTGAATGGTTGGTCTCTATATCCCCTAAATGTTGGGTCTCTGTGTCCTCAGTGCAGTGGGTCTCTGTAAACCCCATTTGCTGGATCTCTATCACTATCCTGTTTTCCAGCCGAAGGTGGGTGCTGAGAAGTGCACGGTGTGCCTGAGCGACTACGAGAACGACGAGAACGTACGCCGCCTGCCGTGTCTGCATCTCTTCCACACAGCCTGCATCGACCAGTGGCTCGCCACCAGCAAACGCTGCCCCATCTGCCGGGTCGACATCGAACAGCACAATGCCAAGCTCGACTGTGATACCCTAGACGAGCCTACCCCCTCATTCCTAGCCTCTGAGATGGACGACCTGCGTCGGGTACGACGCAGGTCCCAATTTGTTGCCTTAGATGAGGCCTTGGGTAGGAGGGACCCCTTCATTGGGGGAACGGAGGAATTAGATGTAACAGCTGGCGAGACCAGCGACCCTGAGCGACGTGCTCCAGCCCGGGACGAGTATTGGTATGCAGGCGACGAGATTTCGTCTCCCGCCTTCCGTGCGTCCACCCGGCGGCGCCCTGCTACCCTAAGAGGGCTTCTCGAGTGGCCTAGACCTGCCAACCGTCCGTGTAGTTTGTTCGCTCCTTCGAGCGGTGCAAGGCGCGAAAACGCCTTCGACAGTGGCGGCGGCGGCTGGGATGGCCATGTTCAGAATGGCGATACCGTCAGGAACAGCCATCTACAGGATGTTGATGCTGGGAGGAACAACAATGAAGCCAGCATGGACAGTCATTTACAGGATGTTGGAGCCGGCATGGACGGCCATTTTCAGGATGTTGAAACCGGCATGGACAGCCATTTTCAGGATATTGAAACCGGCATGGACAGCCATTTTCAGGAAGTTGAAGCCGGTAGGAGTAGCCATGTCCAGAATGGCGATGACGCATTGCCATTGGATTCTAATGGAAATCTCTCATCATCACGCGTGTCTCAGGCTGCCACGGAGTCAACGCAGCAGGACCACCAGACTGTGACTTTCGTTTCCTTTGCCTCATTAGTGCCCACGGCCACCAGCGAGGAAGCAACAGGTGCCAGTACGTCTTTTAGTTCAGACAGTCAAGGGCTATTTGATGGTGCCTGTCATAGCGAGCCCTTGAGTGACAGCAGCTCTGTGTTGGACGAAAATCGCGTACCAGGACAGCAACCGAACAGCGGCACCAGAGCAATGTTGAGTCAAGACAATGTTGTATATGAAGGACCACATGCTGAGAATGGCGACCTGAGCAACATCATGTTGCAAGATGATATGTATATGATGTAAAGGGCGAGTGGTGATATGATGCAAAAGATTGTCATGGGTGATATGATTTTGTTGGGGGACTTTCTATCTCTTCACGAACTGACGTCTCCCCGACACATAGCACGTGATCGTTCTTCACTCAGCTTTTCTACACCAAGGATTTTCGATGAATAAACAGTTGCAAGTAAATATAATCAACATGAATAAATAGAAACACAACACGACAAACCTAACACCCTAATCCTAACCTAACTTTAACCTTAACCGTGCGTTTCCATGACTTTCAATTCACTTCACAAATCCAATAATCGATTCCAAATATTGAGTTTAAATATTGAGGCCTTCCTGAAATAGAAAAAAAACGCTTGAAATGAATAACTAGAGAATGAATATATAATAAACAAATTAACACGCCCAAATAATCAATTAAACGAAACGATTCCCTTCTAAAATTGAACTATCACAATATAATCACAGAGCTATCGATTAACGTACCTCCACGGCAAGAACACTAGACACAATGACAGCCCCCAGGAGGGACTTCTGACGCGTGTCTGTGCTCGCCAGAAGTGCTATGGGATTTCGCGCTTCTAGGGGGATTGTTCCTGAACGCCTTACCGCTGAGCTCGCGGTGGCTGACTGCCGGTTTCAGTTGTGGGGTCAAGTTATTATGTAGGTAGGATTCCTTGCATTAAGTAATTATGTAGGCGGGATTCCTTATATTTCCTTTCTTTGTCCCTCGTGCGGGCGGCCGACGTCCCGTGTAAGCAACCTCTAGTTCGAGTGTCTTCGTTTCTTTTGCTTTTCACTTGTCCCTATTTTTCACTTCGTCTCTTCGAGATGCTAACGCTGCTTCTTTCGAGCCAGCTTCAGCGGGCTGGATAATTGAGACCTTCCCCCCTCTTGTGGGCGAGGATTAATTTGAGATATTGAATAACTGAGACCTTCCGCCTCGCTTTCGATGCAACATTTTGACCTCCGGTGCGAAATAGCTTGATGGCTGAAGCGCTAGCAAACTATTATACTACTACTACTACACAATGATAGACAAAACGCAATACTGCTTGGAGGTCACTGCTAAGCTGATTGAAAATGAAAAAATCAAATCCTAAACCTAATATATTGAAACTCACATATACAGCGCTCAATCTATATCCTCTACAATGTAAGAAAGTGGCATGATTGATATATTGCACGGAGAGAGTGACCTTGCTTTATCGAGTTTGGTTGGGAGGTGGAGCTTCGACTGGCGGGTGACAACTGCCTCTCTCTGTGAGAGCGCTGCCAGGAAGCAAATTTAGCTCATCATTAAGCACAAAATCAAAGCTCACATGAATGTTTTTATCATAAAATGTAAAAACTTCTCCAAAGACTCCGAAAAAATAATGAAGCTCCTATCTGCAAGTGTGTGCACAGCGCTCCTGCTTTCCTCTATTCTGCTTAGCATTTATTCTTGTGTTTCTTTCTCTTATTTTAAGAGTTCTGCACCTCACCCAAATTTTTGTTCAATAATTTAGTCATGATAAATGCATAAATTCGATGCATTTTCTCGAGTTTCTGTGGCGTTGGTTTATTTGTGTTCCTTAGTTCTGGCGGGGAAAATTATACTGCAATGCTGTGAACGATTATGGTGAGGTGAGAACAGTTCCATTATATTTGGTGAGGCGGCGATGGTGTTTCAATTCAGCGTTATTCGTACGAAGTTGCTTTAGGTGTTCTTGCCAAGGCGCCTCATCTCTCGCCATGAGGCGCATAACGGCGGCATAATTCCTACTTCTTGTTTTTTATGTTTAAGCGCTACAGCGCAGTGGTAGCGACACGGGATGAGAAGAGCTGTGGCCTCGAGCCTTTGTAAGCTCAGTTCATTCTAGGTGTCGCTGGTGGCGGCACCTGGTAGCCGCCAAAGGTGGTGCATCAGCGAGGCATTCGGTTGGTGTCCCTAAACGAACTCAGGGTACGTGTTATCTGGGGGATCTGAAGGTCTTGTGTGGATCGAGGGTCCATCTGCTGGTGTAGTGCCACACTTGTGTTTCTTGATTTTGCTCTTTGCTTGTAATTATTTATCAGTTATGAAACAAATCAAGCGTCGAGAGGCTGCCAAGCGTCAGACCTCGACCTGACAATGAGATTATGCTGAGAATTTTCTTTCAATTCGTGTCAAGTCCTCACGTCTTATTCTCGGTAAAGATTATTTTAGGTGGATATTGCTCTGCTGAATGCCAGGTATTATTAGTGTGGAATCAATAATTAAATTTAAAACACCGTATTGATAGTAGTTAGTTGTAATAATTAAGTAGTAGATAGCCTTAAAATGTATTCAAAATTGTTACGGGACTCGATGCGGCTGCAGCTTCAGGGAAGCGCTCCGTTGAAGACGCTGTTGAGAGCTGAACTTGGCGGTTCTAAGTGATCACTATTCAGCTTCTTCCTTATAACAAGTTCGCTCATGTCAACATATTGAAAGATAGACAACTTATCAGGAATTGTGAACCATCTCGAGAGTCTAAACACTAATTATCGCGCCTTAGCAGACCATTTTAGCTGCCGGGGGCGTTAGTGTCTGCCGAGTATTGCTGAGCTTGTGCAACTCCAGCTCTTGTATAAACTATACCAGGGTTTAAGTAATGTTTAATATGTATGAGCAATCTCCTGTATAAATTATAACAGCGTTTTAAATAAAGTTTCGTATGTATGATATCTTTATTTTTAAAGCCAGCAAAAATCTGAAGCCTGCATCTAAGTGGAAATCTGAAGCCTGCATCCTACTATCCCTGTGTGACTTCTGAAAATGGCGCCAGTAAATATGCGCTCACCGGGAAATTAGAATCAAGCAATCGAATTTATTCACCCAGTACAACTACACGTTCACCCAAACTGTAAACCGAACAGTACGCAGGTCACATGTCGCACTATGTCCCATACTTGCTGATGGAACGAAGAGTAGTTACGTTCAAAAACCTAACTCCTAATTAAAGGTTTTTTGCTTCAGTGTGCACGTTTTTGTCGACTTCAGGCACACAGCAGGGGTCACTATTCAGATGGACCATAATATAACAAAAGTTATCCTCTAGAAATCTCGGTAACTATGCCCGGCCACTTATCACATACGAGTCAACTACAATCATGTTGGCGATTTTTACCACGTTACTGATGCTGTGTATGACCAACGGCAAGCTCAGCCTTCCCTCCAGATGATGACATTCAAAGCTTATCATGAAGAGAATAAGGGCGTCGCATGGATGGAGTTGTGATCTGTTGTAGTAGGAGGGACTGAACCTCAGACATTTCTCCTGCTACTCTGTGTCTCTGAGAAGTTCGTTCCGCTGATGTGTGGAGCCTATGCGCCAACAAACTCTACATTGTTGAGTGCTAATTGCTGTACTAGCGAATCACCATTGCGGACAGTGGGACAAGAAGTTCAATGATGCATTTACTCAATAGTAAACAAGTTACCATTACAGTATTTAGTTGGTCTCGGAAGTCTACAGAAGTACGATGCAGTCAGGCCGCGTGCTTAATTTTTTTTAGTCTCTGTAACTTTTTTAGCGATATTGATAAAGTGCAGTCTCTGTCAGGGAACAGAGTGAGAATAAGGGTATTATCTGAAGTGTTATTGAAGTAGGGGTACACTGTGTAGCGAGAATATGCGTATTGAAATGAAGTGTTGATCTTAGTAGCGGTACAATGTGTTCTGGGCGAACAGAAAAGCCCTTCATTATCCTAGACCATTTTGGGTCTGCTTACTGAGTTAATTTCGACTGGCGCATAAATTTTAATTACGCTGTAGCTTAAGTTTTAGCGTGACGGGCTATAGTTTATTTGATAGCTAGAATCTCAGCGTGATGGCTATAATCTTAGCATGACAGGCTAGGGCACTTAGCGTAATAGCTAAAGTCTGCAAATTGTAGTATAGTTAAGATTGTATTCCGATGGAAGCAAACTTGTGCTTTGGAGCTGCCACTTGGAGACCATGAGCCGAGGCAGTCTGACTATAGGAGGACAACACATTTTGCCGAGGCTTGCTTATACTGAAACTCGAGACACGTCCTGTGGGTGGATGGCAAACAATGAGGTTTTGCACGAGGGGGCGTCACCCAGCAGTGGGGGTACGTCTCTCCCAGTAACACACCCCCACGAACACCAGCGACGCAGTACCCATCCCTGTAAACACACAGTTCTACTGAATGTTATTAGAATTGAAGTTACTGTGGCGTTATCGATTTTATGACGATGCCAAAAATTTAATTTGGTACACTTTAATTACGTGTTGTGTTCTTGTGAGCTTGCAGCGAGGCAACTAAACTAATTATGGGAGAGCGTGATAGGGAATGGTCGGTTAATCAGAGCTGCTTCCCACCAAGCGACTTCAGCAGGTAAACGAAAATAAAAGCTAAACGAACGTTCAACTCATGAATGTGAGGATGCAGTGCAGACTGTGCCTGCAGTGAGGGTAATGAATGGCGGCGCCGATCGAGCTGCCAGAAAGACTACTGACGAACAACTCGCTGCCTTAATTACCAGCCAAAGCAAGTAAGCTCGCTTGCTTATTAGCGGGCAGTCTAACCTCACGTTGCTCCAACTCTCGACGCAAAAGAAAACTTGCCGGAATTAGCCTAACTTTACGGGTCGCGGGAAGGCCGGTGCGAGAGAGTCGGGTTTACGCCAGTATGTTAGGCCAAATGTAGAACTGCCTGCCTATGAACAAGTGATGGGCCATAGTCAATGCCCGTCGTCTTACGTCTCCTACTATCGCTGAAGCCAGTGTGTTGCGGCATGTGATTACAGAGTTTCCGTGTGGTATGCAGCTCCTAGCTCTGAGGCTAATTGTAGTTTTATCATGCTGAGGGTGGGAGTTGGCTTCACGACTAACTAAAGAGTTAGTATGGTCAACATGAGGTTACCTCGATGATGCTAATATAAGAATAATTTAGGCACTGATGAGGGTAAACGATTGGTTGAAGTTCACAGTACCAGGATTATGAGGATTGGAGCAGGGAGTTGTGGGTTCGATGTTCGAGATTCGAAGAGAGAGTTCGAAAAGGCCAGTGGCCCAGTGATTACAGTTCAGTAATCACTAAGTAACAAGATTGGCGCAGAGGTGCAGGTTCGATCCAAGCTCTGTGCGCCAGTTCCTAGTCAGAATCGGCGAGGAGGCTGGGCGGTTAAAGCGCAGTGGAATTTGGAGCGGTGAGTTGTGGGTTCGAAACTGCAACAAGCTGTGAATGTTGTGCGATGTTAAGAATCGGCGACAGGCCTAGGGCCTAAACGCTGAAACCGCTATGCGATGCTGTGCTTCATGTGACTGTTCTGGTGAAAATCTGCAAGATAGCCGCGTGACAGAGAATGGCAAGACAAGAGAAGCGAGTTGCGTGTTCGAAACCCCATCAAGCTGTAATAATTTTGTGATGTCTAGAACCGGCGATAGGCCAAAAATGGCCTATTCTATTGACAATTCTATCATATTATAGTCATTTTGATTATGATGTATATTCGTTCCCCTTAGGTCAAGCCTTGCCTTCCATGGCGATTTTATTGGGAAGACGAGGGCCTGGGGAGCTGGCAGGATCTAAGTCTTCCATGATGGTGGCCGCAGCGCCCGATTTGGTGAGCCAGCAAGATAAGTTTTACTCTGTCTTATATATACTTTGTATAGTCATGTACAACCATCCATAGTCAAGTATAGACATGCATGATTATTCTAACGCCCGCTCTTCGTCATGTCGCTTTCGATCACATTTTTTTAATGGCCTCCGTTGTTAAAGCACATAATTGACGTATATATTATCCACCCATTAACAGAAAACCTTACGAATTGCTTTTATAACTTATTTTTCAGGCTAACAGTGATTGCAATGAGGATTACCATATGTACAACAATAAATAAATGTTAATGATGATAACAGTAAATATAGATTGACGAAAAGTTATTGCAAGTTGCATGGATGTTTTCCCCTTCAGGAACTTAGACATGAGGTCGTGTTTGCCGGCGCGACATTTACACGTTGGGCGCCTGGCCAGTTACGAGCACATAAAGTTTAGATTTATTTTCAGGCCCAAGTCTTAGTTGAAGTCATAGATTAATTCGTTTAGATAACTGAAGAAGACAAGAGTCATGAGCAAATAAAGTTTCGATTAATTTAAAGGCCAAACCGCAGTTAATGTGTTAGATTCGTTCGTTCAGATTATTAAATACTGAGTTTTTGTACTGAAAGGTGTAATAGTCAATATGCTGCAGTTAGGGCGATGGAAATGGAAGCTATATAATAATTCTGCGCCAATAACAGTAAGGGCCGAATTATTAAGCCTGTCTTGCAGCTCAGTCAAGCAAATTACTTACGTCACTACAGTGTCTGCTCGTCTGCAGTAGCTTTACTTCGTTTATTTTTGGTGCAATTGTGTGCTGTTGAGGGACGATGTGAAGAAAACTACCACACCCACTTTGCTTATACTGACAGAAAATTTCTCGTTTGGTGTGAGATTGAACCATGGGTTTGTTTGTATGAGAATTTCCAAAACGCGCCCATGCTCGCTTGAGCCGTAATGTTACGGCTCAATTGCATAATTAAAGAATTATTATCAAGATTATAATGTTTACAACAATATACACTGATATTTAGTACGAGTATTCAATTTGCATTTTGTGAGTTATAAACTTTTCTGCAACCTATCCATTCCAGTCGATTCTTGAACTATTAAGTTGGCTCGCAAAGGGTTTCAGGTTGCATTCTACAGCATAGTGACATTAGTGAGCTAACACAGATGTTGAGAAAAAAATATCGGAAACGGTACAATGAAGTCATCTCAAACTTTTCTACTGGCATTTACAAATCAATGATATTTATATTGGCCTGAACATCTTAGGCCACATCAGGCCTACATTTCAGCGCCGACATCATTATGTTAACTCGGCGGGATTTGACTCAGTGTGATATAATCCACAGCGCTTGTTTTTTCTCATTATGTTCATATACCGAGTTGAGAGTGCTCATCAGCGATTATAAGACAATTTTGTGCATATACATTCAATCATCGGTATGATTTACAGTGCAATGTTTACTTTTTGCGTCTCTTTTTAAATGACGTATATTTTTGCACAGCTTATGGTAGGCTGTTGAATTCATTCTTCCGTCATACTTTAACGGATTCAGTGCCATCTATCGCACCAAACACACAAACCATTCATACTCATAGGCGCTGTGTCGTTGAGTTGAACTTAGGAGCTGGTCCACTTACTCCACTAGACTAGAGTTTTCTGTGCTCAATCTGTGAAGTTACACTGTGATTTTGAATAATATTTGAATGATGATCACTTGAGTAATTTGAATCAGAAATTTTATTGCGACAGCTGGAAATAAATACCAGATGGTTCGATCTCTGGTTTCGAAGCAACCCAAAAGCTCTGCTCAAATGTGGAAGCAAGTGCAGATGGGAGTGCGGGCATTTATACTCTTCACTCAGAAGATTTGGGGGTTTATTTGTTATGTCATAAGAAAACAGTTTAGAGTGGTGAGTGATTTGCACTTTCAAAAATACAGCATTCATAGATCTTAGTTATTCATTTTGGCATTTGGAAAACAGTTACCTACCTATATGCTAGGCCTACTTGAATAGGTAATGATTTCCCTATCATGAAAATGTTTAGGGCTTACCTAACTAGGTAATTCTGCAAAGTTGCTTTTGAATTTTTTAAGACATGTGTCTGTTGAAGACTTGAAGTCTTTCTCACTCTCATTGAAGATTGAAGACTGAAGAGTGTGCATTGCCATAGCATAGGTCTGCATAGCTAGTATGCAAACCATTCTACATGTTACAAATAATCATCTTCATAGATTGAATTAAGTTTATTGCTTAGACTAATCATTTTTAGACAAGTTGTATAAATTTTTAATCTCTATTTCTTGCTTTCTAATTTTGATGGTCTACTTCAGGTGCTACAGCATCAGGCAGTGAAGTACCAAGTGCTGCCACTATCTCCTCTCTCCCGTCACAGACTTAGTGAGTTATTTGGTGCATAGATTGCTTGCATTTTCTTTTATAGATGGTCCTGTGTTGGACAATATGTACCTATACCGTAAAATGGGGTAACTTAGACCACTTTATTTTTTATAAATGATGCCATTTTTTTGCTAGCTAAATTAAACTTGAATTGAAACATGCAAAATACAGGTCTATACTCTAGCTTCACTCACCATAAATTGCTGGCTCCTGCCTCTCATAGTCTTTATGTAATTTCAAAAAAAGTGATGGTCTTTGTTACCCCAGCTCTTGGGGTAACTTAGACCTGTCTCTTATACACATCTAGATGTGTATAAGAGACAGCCCCCCCGCTGAGCCGGACCGGTCGATGCTCTTGCAAACGCATAAGTACTCACAATAATTCCCTGCCACCATGATGGGGGCGCTGCCCCCCAATGGGCGAAATGTGACCACCTAATGGAAGCCATGACGGGGTAACATTATAACATAGACCGGTTTGGAAATTAAGTTAAAATTACCATATATAAGACTCTGTAGAGTCTGAAACATAAAGAAAAAACATTAATAGCAATAATAGGTGTATCAAACATAAAATATGTTAGTTAGGTACCTATGGTAATTTTAACTTAATTTCCAAGCCGGTCAATGTTACCCCATCACGGCTGCCAATAGGTGGTCAAAGTTACCCCATTGGGGGGCGGTGCCCCCCATTTGCAAACTATGACACTTTCCTAAAATTTGTCTTTTGCATATGTAACTAGAAGAGTTCTACTACAATGCATCAAAATCTGGAGTTATTTTACCAAAAAATAAAAAAATTGGAGGGGGTACTCCGACAGGCTTTAAATAATAGCTCTTTTTCGTCGCGTCACATTATTAATTTTTTAACCTATCAGATATGCAAACTTTTTAAATCTTTCTATTGTGTTACGTAGCCTCAGTAGGTATTAGGCCTTTGATGGCCACTGACAAAATTTTTCTATGTCAAATTGTTTTTGAGTTTTGGGGGTTTTTGTTAAAAAAACGAAAAGTGGTCAAAGTTACCCCGCCGGTCAAAGTAACCCCATTTTACGGTAGTATTTATAATAAATAACAGCCTAATTATTGTTTAGTAAGAGAGAAATCATAATAAAATAAAGAATTTTTATTGTTTAGTAAATGAGTACCGTATACTGTCAATAATGCACATATATAGGTACTGTCATTAATGCTCATTATTTGAATATTAGCTCACAAAAAATTATTAAATTGCCCCCACTTTTGATTAGTGATACCTATATTCAGTTGCTTTGATTTTGTTAAAGAATTAGAATCAATTGTCTGCTGTTGGAGTAGCCATAGAAAACAGCTTGAATTTTAGCAACTGATTTGTAAGAAAACTGGTTGCTAATCATAAAAATGTGATAGTCAATTTGGCAAACATCTGACTAGTTTACTGAAATTGCTAAAACAAAATCTATTTGTAGGCCACCAATTTTTCTCATAGCTAGAATATATTGCAAGCTGCCCTACTTTTATTTATTGAGCATGTGTGTTGTCAGGTTTAGTGAAGCGCAAGGTGTTGGTGCTGGACTTGGACGAGACCCTGATCCACTCCCACCATGACGGCGTTTTGCGACAGATGGTCAAGCCAGGCACGCCGCCTGACTTTGTTCTTAAAGTCACCATTGAACGGCATCCTGTCAGATTTTTTGTCCACAAAAGACCACATGTGGATTATTTTCTTCAAATTGTGAGTTATTATGCATAATATTTTTTGGTAACTCTGGCTTATCTCATTAACACTTTGATTTTATTTACCCATTTGCTAAACTTTTGTAATAATTTGTCCTTGACCCTATCCTCTCTACAATTAGAACCTTGCATTAAATTTTTTCTAAATAAAGTGTTGAAATAATTGCTTTGGCACATAGGTATATGCACCAGTAGGTTCTGGAGTAACATATACCTATTATCCATGCTACATGTATGAATTCATTCACAAAGGACCACTTTGGAGTCATCATTTTGATGACTTTTGATCAAATTTTGTAATTACATGCATTTCAGTATTACCTATAAACCTTCATCTCATAATTATTAGGCTTTCATATTAGAATTAATTGGTAGCAAATAAAGCACATTGTCGTTGTTGGTGGAGGAATGATGAATTTGAATTTAATTTCTGATCAACTATTTATGGATGCTTCAGTTATTGAAGTCATTACTAGTACAAGGGGCTGTCTGATACAGGAATTTGATATTTTAATAATTTAACAAAATTTTTTGGTTTGCCACTTTGCCCCCAAAGTTTTTGCCAAGAGCTCTTGAGATTTAAGTGAAACTTCAAACACGGGAAGAATGATCTACGTATTCATTAGGTGAAATGATGTATTCCATTCTCTTTCATGTTGTGAAAAAACTTGGGATGAATAAAACGTTTGTTTGCTTTCAATTTACGGATTTATAGCATAAAAGTTAAAAATCGAGGATATCATTGATCTCATGGTGTATAATTGGCAAACAGGATACATTGAGCTGTGAAAAAATCAAAGAAGATCTTATTCCGTTGTTTATCAGCTGCTATTCTTTGTCAACACTTGTTGATCAGGAAGGTAACTTATTATATTGTCATTATATTTAAAAATTAAACTAAGAAGTTTGTAACATTTAGGACTGCATATAACAGTCTTGTCCATGGTTAGCTTAATATTTTTTTTTGTTCCACGTTTCTGTGCTGTATTGGTTCAAAGCAGCATGTCTGTAGGTATATTAAATTGAGAATAATGCCGGTTGCACTCAAAATTTCCTTATAGTTTAATACCACCCTAACACTGAATGAACTTGTCCAAAATACCATATTTCTATTTCACAAAACAGATTTCAACAGGTTAAAAATAATTAAAGTAATTTTGATACTATGAAACCTGCCATTCTTATACAGTCAAACAACCACATCCCTAAAAACTCTGGAGCTTCATAGTTAGAAATTTTGCATCCCAAATGCATTCAAGCTTATCTTGCATTCACCAACCATTCCATCAATCAGTCTTTTGTCAGCAGCCATCACTTCAACACCTCTATTCTCATTGTAGCTGCGTCTTATCAAATCTGCCTGAGGAAGCTCAATGCTGAGCACACATCACAAACTTTAGAATACTATTCACAAACTTTAGAATACTATTCTTTTGGTGAAAATTTAAAATTATTAGAACCAACAGTAGTTCGTATGGTTAGGCACCTAGAAAAGTTGAACTAAAAGGAAATTTTAAGCAAAACGGGCATTATTTGTAATGAAACGTGCTTGAATGAAGGGCTCCTAGTACCTTCACATACTAGGTACTAGTACCTACTAGTATACCTATCATATATGTATATTATGAGTATCACTGTTGTGGTACCGTATAACATGATTTCATTGGTTTTGCAGGTGTCGCAGTGGTATGAGTTAGTTGTGTTCACTGCTAGCATGGAAATCTATGGTGCTGCAGTAGCAGATAAGTTGGATGCTGGCCGAGGACTACTGCAGCGTCGCTACTACCGCCAGCACTGCACGCTGGACTATGGCTCCTACACAAAGGACCTCTCTGCAATATGTCCTGATCTCTCCTCTGTCTTCATATTAGACAATTCTCCAGGAGCATACAGGGCTTATCGAGGTAGGTGTGTTGTATTAATGGTGTGATAAAATATTTTCATGGCTCTAACCGTAACAGATAGGAAGTGCCCATTATTATTTTATTGGCATTCAAGACTGGGCAATGTCTCGATATAGGCATTGTAGCAGCAGCGCTGTGAGCAACACAGATGACACTAGAAGTGGTTCACTACCATATTGGTAATTTTTTATAAAAACGATAGTTTTTGAAATTATTGTATTCCTGACCTCGCAATTCCTGTATAAATTTGAAAATTCATGTGAAAGTAGCCCTATTAACAGTAGAAAGTATTAATAATTAGAGTTTTGAAAAAATTATTTCTAACACCAATAATCAAACCCATAATAAAAAAGTGTAACAGATTTAGTACTTTTAATTGTTTCGGCAAAAAAAGCACTATATATATCACTGAAAATGGCTTTATGTTGATTCATTTTAGGAGGTTGTAGCTAACGCAATAGGTACTGTTCTTTAGATGTAAGAGTTACCAGATTATATTATACTGCTACTGTTTGTACAGATAACGCAATTCCGATCAAGTCGTGGTTCAGCGACCCGCTGGACACGTCGCTGTTGAACCTCCTGCCCGTGCTGGACGCCTTGCGCTTCACGGCGGACGTGCGCAGCGTCCTGTCGCGAAACCTCCACCTCCACAGACTCTGGTTGGCACCATGACTCTTGTGATGACCCTTAGTGAATGGTCGAGCACCATGGCTCTTGTGATTGCCCTGAGTGACTGTGGTCGAGCACCATGGTTCTTGTGATTGCCCTGAATGACTGTGGTCAAGCACCATGACTCTTGTGATTGCCCTGAGTGACTGTGGTCGAGCACCATGACTCTTGTGATTGTCCTTCGTAACCCTGGTCACTGGTCAGTCACTACGATCATCAATAATCTTTACTTCGCCTGGTCAGAGAGTCAATGACTCTTAATTCCCAGTGACTGCTATGTGGCCAAAGTATTTTAATACTTCACATAATCTATTGATGTTAATTTTTAGAGCGCCTTCCAGTCGCGGCATTGTTAATGTCTCAGCCTTGACTGCTCGTCTCCATGTGATATTAATTCTTCATTAAGCAGATACTGTCAATGACATTCGTACCTAATGGTCTAGTAACGAGATTTTACCTTACTGACAGCGGGCTAAAAGATAACTCATAGGAACCTTTTATTTCGAATATCTTTATCTGACTGTTACGTTTATTTGCAGGTAAACGCTGTCCCCGCCCTGTTCAATGCCGCGGCAGCAGCTGTGAAGCGTGAATAGTACTGTACTTACTGTAAAGAGTGTACAGTCAGAAAAATCTTGCACTTCGTACTTGTACAGTACTGTGCTTGCTGTTAAGTGTGTACAGTACGACGAAACCTGCATTGCATATTGCATCTTCCCACCTTCATGTAGCATGGCCGGTGGAATTGGGCCAGTGGGCCAAACGTTATTCAGCAACGTCAAGTCCATGACTTAATATCCTGATGCCATCAGAGATGGATTTATGTACAACTTTTATTTCTGAAGCATTTCTAATTCCGGCGTGTCTAAAAAGCGTTCCTTTGAAACGGAAATTAGGGTTAGAAAGAGATTGGCAGCAAGACGGTGCTATCGTAGATAGCAGTTGCTCATAACTCATGATGATTAGTATGGAACTATTATGATGATTTGTTGTAAGATAACTTTTGTTATGACTTGAGCTGCTTTACTGGATGTCAATGTTTGAAATTGAGATATTCACTTATTTTACCACAAGAATCAGCACTGTTAGACAGATTGTATAATAAGAGCTACAAAATTCGTGCAGTTTGCCTTTTCTTCTGTTCCGTATGCCGCGATCTGAGGGATTGATGAATGAAAGGTTTGAAAAAACCAAAGGTTCAATATCTGAGATGACGACGTGGAGACTTCAAAGTTATCCCGGCTTAAAATATTTAATGCTGTTGAAAAATAGGCTCACCTGCGATTGTTAGATTCAGTGCTTAGCCCAAATGTGATGGGAAGGGGTTTTGGGAAACTGTGAACAGAGATTGCAAATTCTGTATAAAAATTCTGTTTTAAAATACTCCGCTAGTTGAATGCTGATGGATGATTGTAATTAGTTGGGAGTGTCCCCCATCTCTCGTGTTTCTTTGATCCACGCTGTACGTCTTAAAGACGTGTCCAGGAGTAAAGTGCAAACGACTCTAAAATAATCAAATTTTGTTATCTGTGTCAACCTTGAGACGTTTGTTATGATCTAACTGTTAATTTGTTTTGCAATTGACTTAATTATGCTGTTGCCGAGGCAAATAAGCATCTTATGACGCATGACCAACTTCTTATTCTGGACGCATGACCAGCGTCTTATATATATCAGCTTCTTATTCTAGAACGCTGAAGTGTGCCCGGAATATGTTTCGTTGCGGTTAGATATTAGGCACGGCACTCCTGCTCATCTGAACTTCTGCAAAGAACATTGGGTGTGGCCTGGCCTCTCGTGTGCTGACTAGTCTGTCGTGTCGTGCAGCTCTAAAGCCAGCAGAATTTCATCAGGGTAAAGCCAGCAGTAATTTCCTTTTTCTCGCCAAGTATTGTTTTTGGTGATCATTGCGATTCTCCACTGCAATCAGCCTCATTCACCTCACCCTATGTCCATTCACTGAAGGGCTAAGATAAGCCTTAAAGGCTCAGATTGAGACCCGCGAGCCCTCAGGCAGGCTCGGCTAGGATGCCCGATGCGATTCTATCACTACGTTGATTCATTATAACTCCGCTCGTAAATGAAATATCAGTCTGAAATTTTTCACTCCTATTCGGCTATTTTTTTCAATTTCTCTGCAAAAAAACAAAAAAATATGCAAACTTTGCATTACATCAGTTATGATGGAGAAAAATGTTGGGCGTCGATTTTCATTATATATGCGACTTACCGAAAATTTGTGAGACATCAGCTGTAGTGCTATTTATTATCTGCTGTTCGTATTGAATACATATCTGAATCAACATACATTTTGCAGATATTTGAAGGCAAGAATTTTTTTCATTAATGCTGAATGCGAGATTTCACATTTACTTTGAAAGCTGCAGCTCTGAAAGAGTTGGGAGGAAGAATGAGGCGAAACAGACGTCGTAATTAACCCGGCTGTGACTCTTGTGGTGGAGGGGAACACAATGAGGGGCGAGTAATGACAGATGGCCAGTGGTCGGCCGAGGGCAATTAGTTCTAGCCGACCACAGGCCATTCCTCGGCCACCTGAAAGCCGGCCGTTGCCCCAAGATGGGGGGCAACAGTCTCTGTATCATATTACAGAGACTACAAGCTCAGGAGTAGCAACTTGCCAATCTGACAACAGAACTAATCTTCCACATTGTGGTCTCGAATTCCTCGCTCTCTGACTTCGCGGCACTCTGACTACCAGCCTTAAAATTGGCACTTGTTACTTAAGTTGTTGTCGTAACCCTGGTGAATTCTCGCACATTATGTGATTTCTTCCTTGTAACAAGGCATCCTGGAGGCTGTCGTAGGCGCACTCAGTGCCACCTGCTCACACCGCCCTCCGTTGCAGTCTTGGCTCTCTCATAGAAGCACCGAACAGTTCCAAATTGCGGCCTAGTAATTCTGTAAGTCCAAGCGTATCATTTCACGTTATTAGATATTATGTTATAAATTCTAATATTATAGTATAGAGAATGGATCTAACATAAAATTCAAGTGATGAGGGATAAAATCATGCTATCAATGCGACTTTGAATGGAAATATTTTCATGGGATCGCTGACAAAGCTGACAGTTTAAGAGAATTTTGCCGATGCCGTTGAATGAAATTGCTACAAGTTATACCAAAGCAGCGCATATGTAATGCAGGGTTTGCTCGCAGGAAATATGAATCTGCTGCAATGGACGTGGCAGAGCCTTGAGTGCCCCTTGTGTTCCCATGATTATTTTATGCTGATTACACTTTGATCTTGTGATTAATTATTTCAAATTACATATGACTTTGTCCTCTGCTTTGAGACGTTACTTAACAGAGGCTGTCGTGATCTGCCCTCTGCATAGGAGAGATTACATCTAAAGTTGGTACCAGGGAAACCTGCTACAAGCAGTTGTCATTTACCGGGGGCACAATTGTACTATTTTGCCATATCGATTGGGCATTGACAGGCACGTAAATAACCATGGAATCGATGCTGCCAATCCCAGGTATGCAATCAGAATTGACGATTATCATAGAATGCAATGATGATGATGTTCAATATGCGCTCGATGATTGTGATATTATGTTCATGTTCTTATGGGGGGGGGGGGGGTATGACGCTCAAAATTCCTGGTGGAATAAACGTAGCAGTTATCGCAAAATGGCAATGTTGTGTCATGCAATCATTTTAGGACAACAGATTTACGTTGCACTAAAAATTATTGATAATTTAATACGAATGTAATTCTTAGAGCATGCTGCCTAAGTCAGTAGAGATGCTCATCGTGATCATCATGCCGGTTGATTTTTAGATGCTACAGCTATGACCAAACTTCTGAACCTGTCAGCCATTACCAAACCCCTGAACCTGATGCATTTGTCAGTATTATCGGAGCCATGAACCTGCTGTACTTGTCAGCCAGCAACTTCTACAAAAGATATAATGTGTGATTTGCGGTTCATTGATAACAAATGGTATAATGTGTCATCATCTTAGGAGTTTATAAAACTACTGTGTCACTGTGTCTGTGGACTTGGCGTGTCCCGCAGTGTGCACTAGTGGAGTAGCTTAGAATATCTATGTTGTGGAGAGGGTGTGGAGTTGTACATACTTGATTAGTGGTGGTGTTCTCATGTACAAACGTGCGGCTGAGCAACGGAAGTTTTGTGTGGACGCATATACTTAGATTTGGTAGGTAGAATCTTTCTTGCTGATTAGACGGACCGGCTTTGATGGCGAGAAGAGACTAAATTTGACTGATTACCAACTCTGAACATCGTTATTTAAACGATATTTCTGAAAAGCTTTGTGTTATATAATATTCATAGACATTGTCTGTCTGACCAAGGTGATGTCCCTAAGCTGACTTGGTCTCAATCATTTTGTAACTTGACATCCCAGTTTAACCTGATTCCTATCAACTTGACCTTGGTCCACCCACTTGGCGCCACGTTACCCAAGTTAACCCAACCTGGCTATCAATTCAACCTCCCTTCAGTTGATCGTAAGCAACTCTTGCATCAATAACTTCTTTCACACGCCACAGAAAAGAAGTCTCGAGTTTTCTTAACAAACATGACGCTTATGTCATCGAAGTGCGTATCGCCGGCCGACCAACCCTCGAGCTTGTGCTCGTGACGCAGTTAATATCTTTTATATTTACAGCTGCTACAAAGGGTTAAGTTCTTAGTGAAGTTGAGAGAATGTCACTGACTGAACTATTTTTGACTTGAGAATGTTTTGTTGTAGTATGATAGGGTGAAGTATAATTTTCTGAAATATGATTCGCCGTTGTATGGATGACCGATCAATGATTGACTGTTGTTTGATTGGCTTTAGCATGATTGGATGATTGCTAACTAAGTTGGACGCTGAAATATTTATATGCATTTAATCTCAGTGAAAACAGTAACTGTATTTTCATTTTTAAAAGGTTACTATAAACCTGTTTGATTCTGGGAGAGAGGATACCATTTTAGATTTAAAATTTAATCTTGAACCGCGTGTGCGCAGAAAATTTTCAATGCTATTGTAAATTTTGCTTAAAAACTTCATTTATGAAATATATTGATGGTTTTTCATTGTCCTGAGACTGCCACATGGCGTTGTGGTGTACTGAGCACCGCGCCGCATGGCGTTGTGGCGTGGCATGAAAAACATATGCGCCGCATGGCACTGGTGGCATGATGAGAACTGCGCCACATGGCGTTGTGGCGTGGCAAGAAAAAAAATTTGTGGCGTGGCAAGAAAAGAAATGCGCCACATGGCACTGGTGGCATGATGAGTACTGCGCCACATGGCGTTGTGGCGTGGCAAGAAAAGAAATGCGCCACATGGCACTGGTGGCATTATGTGCACTGCCCCACATGGCGTCGTTGGCGTGATGTGCGCTGCGCCTTGGTGTTTTTGATGCGCCATCAAAAGTGTTTTTGTTCTAGGCTATTGTTTGATGTGATATTGTTGAGCCATAAGCTGCGTCCTCTTGGATAACAAATACTAGCACCGAAGTACAACACTACACGTCACAATTTATTCATTTTCTGAGATCTTTGGTCTGATTGGTCGAGGACAGTTATTTTATTCACTAAAATGAAACCCAAGATCCGTATGCTGTTATTAAATTCTGCACTTTTGATAAACATGCTATAGAGCGAATGAATTCGTCAATGCAAATCAAAAATTCATATTTCTGTCAATATTTTGGAAATTACTGATGAAATGGGAAGAAGTATTCCACAGTGATAGGATTTTCTTTGGATAGTTCGAAAAAGGATCGAGAATAAGAATGGGAACGATATATAGAATAGAAGTGTCGGCACTGAAGAAATAGGCCCATGGCCTGTTGCCGATTCTTGAATTTTTCGTGACTTGATTCACAAGGGATCCGGCCTTATCTATTATATGTCGTTCAATGATAAAGCCCTACGAAATGATGATGAACTCGTGAGATTACTAGAGCGCAATTTTTAGATAGCAGTAATGGTTGTCGCTTCAATTAGTGATAAGTTGTTGGAAAGCTCTTAATGAATGCCTGACTAGAACACTTTTGTAGCCCTGGTTGAAAGCTTATTGATCAACTTGCTGGCTGCAAGGGACAAACCCGCACATTTTAATAATACGTAATATTTTTAAATTCACTCGCGTTGCAAAAAAGAAAATTCGAGTGGACAGGAAAATTTGATAAATATTTTTTTGAGGTATTGGATGATTGACGCACTTTGGTATACATCACGTTAAATTAAACGTAGAAAATAATGCATATAACGTTGCAAATAATGTGTATTTTGCAGCATATAAAGCATATTATGCAGCCAGTAGTGCGTATGATGCAGCCAATAATGTATATTTTGCAGCCAATAATGCATATTTTTAGCATGTTTTGATCTGATAACGCAGGAGAGGCAAATAAAAGTGCGTTGTAGTTGCAGAATAAGATTTTACTGCAGCTAAACTTGCTCTACGATGTGACATGGTTGCCCTCTAACTGCTATGCGGAGAGGAAAAAAAATGTGAACAGAGTATCTGAAATTTGAAAAACTTTCAAGGCTCTTCAGCATCTTAATTAGATACTCAAGAGATACATAAAAAAATGTTGAAATTATAATCAATCATTCCATAAAGTGAAGCTAGCAATTTATTAAGAATCATGGTATAGTATGTACTAAACAATTTAGTCTGGTTACTTGCGTTCCCGATTGATGTACAATACACATCCCATCATGCTGCACGTGCATGATTAAATTTTCAGATCTATTTAATTTAATATTTTGAGTATCAATACGCTAATAGATTATTGATCTTCTTTGTTGTTGAAACACCAAAGTTTCAACAATCAAGGGTCATAAGTTAAAAAAAATGCATCGATCTGCTGGACTGTCGCACGCAATGCGCAAGGCGAAGGTTTCTTACCAGCACTGCTTGAAGACTTCATTTAATAAATGTTTTCAATTTCATTCGAAGTGAATAATGATGAATATATTCCTGATTTAGTTGCCCAAGAAAACAGTTTTAAAATCAGCGAACAGATTTAATATTTAATCAAAGGTTCAGCGCTGGCAAAACCTTTATATTAGCAACAAGTTCTTGTAGTGGGCCTCTGAAATGTCTTAACTCATCGATATATTTGACTTTATGAAACGTTAGAGCCGTCGTTCTGTATGGGCTCGCTTGTGGTGCTTGATTTGGCCAGGTTAAGATCTCTGCCACTGTTAGAAAATTGAAGACCATGCCGCCTCCTTCCTTCAAGCCCGCCAACTTGGCTTAATTCATTTATTTGTTAAATGAAACGCGATGCTAAATGTGCACGAATTCGAGTAACCGTTCGAGAAAATAAGTAATATAGCAAAACAAAGTGTAAATAAAAGGTAAAAGGTAGACGACAACGTGTCAGTATTAACGGAACCGTGTCAGACTAGGCATCAGTGCGCAGTGGCGTGCCACAAGGAAGCGTCCTGGGGCCTATTTTGTTCGTTGCTTTTATAAATGATCTGCCAGAAGTAGTACTTATCGAACCCGGTGGAAGTCTAGTAGCTTCTTCAAACTATCGCCAGTCATGAAAAGATCCGGTCAAATGACACGAGTTTAGATCTATGAACAAGGCACGAAATGGAAAAGAATCGGCGACAGGCCACATCAGGCCTACACTTCAGAGCCGACATCACTATGTTATGTTAAATGTGAAAGAGTCACGACTTAGTGATGCGGGTAAACTAACTCTTCTCACATCGCTTCTGATTATAACGAAAGCCGCTTTAAGAGGTTAACTTCAAAAAGAAGAGTTAACTGTTACTTTAAAATTTCGTATATGTAATATCGAACGGATGTTCAGGTTTGAACGCTGTTATGTTTGCCTATGGAATGAGCCTATGATTTGCTCAAAAATGGGCTTTATATGCTGGCATCTTGAAAACGGGGTTGATATGGAAAGCGATTGATTTTTTCGAAACCCTGATAAGTAAAATAAATTTCGGTGCAAGCATATTCTATGGAAAATATAAGGAATAATTACTGTTGGTGACGTATTTATAGATTAGTAAGAAAATTAACCTTTCACCCTACAGGAAGGATGAAATTATTATTACACTTGGATAGTGAAATATTCACAGCTATCTTTCCACAATTAGTAATAAAATCTACACAAGTTCATATGTGTATAGTTTATTTTTTAACACGGCAGGGGCTATTTGAAAGTTCAGCGTAAAACCCGTTGGTCGTATCGGCCTGTTGGATAAGATTGATCAATGGTTATTCGGTTGTCAATTTTTAAAAAATTTGTTGATAAGCCTGAGGTCTCGAGCGGTGAAGAGATCAATATCAAAGGGGCGTATCAATGAGTAAAATTTTCAATGGCGATTGTAATATTGGATACCTTACAGTCGAATTTTACTGTGTAATGAAACCGCTTTTATGATAAATGTTATTTCCCAGCATCAGCAACGAATGTTTGTCGTTTACTCGGTTTACTACGATTTTCATTGCAGGTTTATACTGCTGAACACTCATTCTGATTTTCTGTTTTTAGCGGAGCTCAGTAAAACAATCAGCATAAAGATTAATTGAAGATTGCCGTTCATAAGGTGCTTTTTAAAATTTTTATAGTTCATTGCGAGTAAAACTTCGTGATTTATCATTACACATTTTGATAATTAAAACACTCATGCCCGAAGAAAGGCAAAATTATCTATAGGAAGGATTCAATACTAATCGTCTTGGATGCATGCAATGACGTCAGTCCTGCTTTCAATGACACTTTTTTTATAAATTTGATTTTATACGCACACTTCTGTTTATTTGCTTAGCATTAGAAAAGATCGCTTTGTATTAGAATAGGCCATCAGTTACAATGTGGTGACCAAGCCAAGCAGAGGGAAGAATTAAATTGTTAGATCTTCTAGACTTGAGCATTTTCGTGACCATTGAACGGCAACATAGACGATATCTAACAAAGATTTGAGTTCAGTAACCAATCAGAGAGCCGTAATGCAGAGGCCGCACAAGCCGCAGATTCATTCTTAATAGAATTTTTTGTATCTTCATCGAAGTCTTTTCAAAGTCAACCGACCAAGCTACGATAGAATTGATCATAGATCAGACTCCAGTTGATGAATATCTATCTCAAAAGTCAATCGTGTTAGGCTTGCCGTCGAATATTTGTGGAGATTATTTACGATCAAGTTCGTTTTCATTTGCATCCGAGGCGAAGAGGACTAAGGTCAAGACGAAGAGGACGTTAACTAAAACAGAGGACTATTTTAGTTAACGTTGATGAAGGCCCCTTGGCAAATGCAAGAGAAGACATAAGCAAGGTTAGGCGAGTCGTCAAAGTTTCCTTGGTAAGTAACGAATATGTTCGTTTGCTCATCCTGCTTGGGCGGACTCGTGATGCCGTAGATCGTCTGGTCCAGCACGCTGCCGTCCGACCAACGGTAGACGCCGTCGCCGCCCTTCTGCAGGCCCACGAATGTGTCCCCTGGGTTAGAAAAAAAAAATAATTTAACTCAAGATGGATAGATTGAAATGTTTGGATAAAAATATATGTAAGACGAAAGAGCCAAGCTGATCATGCGATAAGGAGTTATGATCGTGAAAAGTCGTGAGTTATTCCGTGATATAAGTGTTATTTCAGAATGATGTTATATTGTGTGGTTAGAATTGAAAATAAGGCCATTAAAGGCCAGTGGCTGATTCCAACGATCACAAAATTCAGGGCTAGCTGAGGTTCAAACTCGCAACGTCTTCCTTCAGTCTTGATTATCTTTATAGCCACTCGGCCATCATGATACTAGAATTACGATTCGGATATATACTCGTACATGGAGAGAAAATACCAGAGATGAAAAGATGATTTTAGAGTAAATTCTAGTTTTGATTATGAATTGATACGCAAGTGCATTAGTCAAGAGCAATAAATTATTCGATTACTCAATCATTTACACCATTGGTTGTAATTCAGAGCACGAATCCAATTTGAAAAGATGAAAAAACGGGGTTAAAATTAGATTACAACTAAATCTAGGGAAATTAATAGATATATTGTATAAAAATAGTTTTTGGTGGAATACGTAATCTTGAATCTGACTTTAATCTTAAAACTTCAGGTGAGTGAGAATAACTGAGTTACATGCAGGCTAGGCTTTCTTACGGGCTTTGATGAAATCGAACGACGCTTTGGTTTTGACGACCGGGATCCTCATGCCGGGGTGAGAGCAGCGCGCTGCGCAGGCGATGTACGACGCGTATTCGTATTTGTTGTAGAAAAGACCATCTGCTTGTTTTACGAAATTTTCTGAAATGAAAAATATACGTATCACAGAAATTGAGAAACAAAGCAAGAAAAGTCGCATCGCTGGTGGAACTTTCTCTGGTTAGGTCTAATGTACATTGAGTGCATGAGCATCGTTGGCTACCCACGTACCCTGAGGTAGTCCATTGTTCCACTTGTGGTGAAGCTTCTGAATGGTACTTTTTATTTGATTCTGCAACCTTTGGTAATATTAAACGTTATTATCCAGATGGGCATTACAAGCACGCATCTCGATTTTGCTAAGAAACACCACATTTCGAAAGCTACGACCTGCTGGATTATCCTAATATTGCAAAGTACAAGTAGCGACTTACGTAGTGCGTATGTACTGACGAATTGACGCAACTCGAAACGATGGCATTATCAAAACGTTTCGGCGCAAAGTTACGTCCAGAAGTTGTACTTAACTTTGCGCCAGCTCCGAGAATAAGCGAGTCGAGTTACGCACAACATTTTAGAGGGTGAAGCGATTTGAACTTATCTGGTTAGGTTTTTGTATAGTCATGTATTGTGGATGTGATCGACATATTGCAGCTTCGCAGTTCGAATACAATTTGTACAGAACTGAATTCCATTTCTCACTAAATAAAATAACTACTTTTTTTAGAATTGGAACATCATTGATAACTTTTCACGTAACCGTCATTTGTACATGACTCAGGAAAAATTTCTATGAAACAGAAATATTTTTTTAAAAAAGGCGTGTAAATTAGTAAATTTTTCAATGGCGAGATGATAACAGAGATTTCGATATCGGATACATTACAGTCGAATTTTATTGTACTAAAACAGCTTTCATCATAAAAATTATTTCCTAACATCATCAAGGTGTACAACTTATCAATGGAACACGTGTGATCAAAAACAAAACTATACAGTAAATCACACTAACAACTAAATAACAACTAAAGCATAAAACTTAACATGAAAACTCATATTAAAGTAGGCATCCAAGTAAAACGGAATGGTTAAGATAAAGGTAGCACTGAAAATTCAACTATTTCATTCACTTATTAAGAGAAAAAAAGGTTCACGTGCGTTCACCCGAGTACTGGTAAGTAGCGCCGCTGGACTGCGTCGTCTTGCCGAGCTTGTCGCTGAGAGCGCACGCGCCGCTCGCGTTGTAGGAGTGCGCGATGCAGCGCCCGTCGACGAAGCATCGTGCGCGACACGCACCTGAGGGACGGGAATTTTCTTCTACATACTCATGAAATATGAAAATTTCCTCATTATCAGAACTTCATCATTGTTTATTCATCTGAATTTTCTTATTGAGTGTAACAAAGATTGTGTCATTCATTTCTATCTATCTGCAAACAAACTAAATTTACACTTATTTGCATATCGTGCTCATTGCTAATGCCATAGTAACTTTTACTCTACTCTTAAATATTGGGAATAACTGAGACTTCAAGAGTTTAATAAACACATAAACTTCTTCTAAGTATTCATTGTTTGTCTTTTCTCCAATATTCACCTAAAAAACATTCAAACCATTATCGGGAGGACAACGAGATTTGCAGAGTTCCTGGTTACCATATCACGAGTAATATAATGAGTCAATATGAAGTATCTTTATTACTTGATCTTCGTGCACACATAAGCACACATTTATCGCAAACTCATCAGCAATAATTCTAGCTATCACAATAATTCTAATAATGCACATAATTCAATAATATAATTCTAAAATAGCTATTTGAGATGAGAATATCCATGACTAACCGTTTAGGAAATAAATTGAGAGGTCGGTGAGAAAAATTTGTAGCATTTCTTAAATTGTGTACACTGCGCATGGTGCATGGAAAATGGTGATTGCTAGTTAAATAATAAAATTAATATTCTGCAATAATCTAAACATTATCAATCATTCAGTAAATCACAATATTGTAGTAAAGAATTTTCCGGACTGCTAGCCTGAATTTAGTTCAATCAAGGGATCCAATCAATCAGGTGCATTCAATCAAGTGGCTCGATGGAGTTAAAATGATATTATATGAATTACTAATGATAAACTGTTGTCTCACACGCAGATGGTGCTTGGGCGAGGTCGTAGGAATCGTCCTCGGAGATCTGCACATTTTTGACCACCACGGACGTCTTCCCCGCGTAGGTTTGTATCAAGTAGGCCTCTGGCAGCGAGGCGTTCACTGCCCCCAGCGTCAGCAGCGAGGCGTTCTCTGCCTCCGGTGTCAGCAGGTCTGCGTTCACTGCCCCCAGCGTCAGCAGCGCTGTCGTCAACACCGGAATTGCTGCGAGCGACATCCCAGCCACTAATCCATTGGCCGTAGACTATCAAACCTCGCTCAAGAACACAAAATGGCCTAAGTACACTTAGCGGCCTATGTACACGAATCGGCCTGAGTACACTTATAGTGGTCACAGTACAGGTGGCAGCCTAAGAACGAGTACACGTTGCGCCGATTTCTCGCCTGTGCTTGGTAAGTTTAAGTTGTAAAGCTGTCAGAGACTGACTTATAGGGAGTTCTAAATTATTTTTTTTTAGAATTATTTTCCATAGGAATACCCCTGTTCTTTAATTGCAAGCTGAATGTTCCACTTGAACGAGATTCGAGGAGAATCTTGTCCTATTTTTCCTTGTAATTTATATTTCGGAATGTAAATAATGATCGAAAACATATTTTTTTAATCTTGATGCAATATATGGATAGATTATCATTCATGAACTGCTGTGAAAAATAATTGGTTTGCTTGAGAGCCGTGCATGCATGGCTTTCTGTAATTCTAAGCTTGTATTCTTAATTTTCCGTATGCTTCACAACCGAAAGCAGTTGTTTCCCGAAGTTTCACAGCGTGTAACGCACGAAATAAACTTTGAAAATCGAGAATTAAGTGCATAACTTACAGAAAATATGTTAATTCGTTACTATGAATTTTATGCTATTCGAAATCAACGCAAAGCTCCGGTGATACATACAGCTTTTGATCAAGCAAAAGACAAAATGGAAAAACTACAATATGAATAATATAATAAAGTTGTGATAATAATGGCCATATTGGAATTCAGGGTGGCTTCAAGTTCTAAAATATTTTCCCGTTTCTGCTTATTATTACAGACTAGAGTAATATATTAAACCTTTAGAAATGGTACTAAACTTTAGGGAGCACCCATTTTTCCCTAGAATAAACTTTTTTTCGTATCATTTGATGCCTCTAGAATCAAGAAATGGTGTGCACTGTGCAGTACACGCCCGAGTGTTGTTCGACGACTGGTCGGGAAGCGCTTCAGTCAGCCACAAGCTCGACGTTCAACTATGGCAGGCTATAATTATTCGCCCTAGCTTTTAAGGCTTTGACGTTTAGGAGCTAAAGTCATGCAAGGTTTTTAGAATTTTTTAATAGTGATTCGTGGCTGTGAAACTGAGTCACTGGCCTGAAATCTTGAATAGGTTCATTTGAAACGTACGAGTTTGCCTTTTGTGACGAATAATTTGATTTTGATTTGCGATTTTAGATTTAACTACCAGACTGTGGTGTGTGTTGGTGTAAATGGTCCGGTTTTTGGTTTAAGGTATGCTCACTGCAGTATTGAAGCTTCGGTATGACTTTGATGATGAAAAAATAAAAATGAAATGCCGGGCATATAACACAGTTCATCACCTCGAACGAATGTAAATAACTGCTACTATATACCGCCACCACCATCACTCTATATACCAACAATAACGCAACTGTGTAGATTAATTAGTATTTCACTCCATTGGCGATTTTTAGTTAGGTTCAATTTTAATAATGCGTTTAAAAGCGGTCTTTATTTCAAGTTTCATTCTGTTTAAAAACGTGCGCATTTGGATGCGTATGTCTAAAAAAGATGACGAAAATTCAAAATATTGACAGGATTTTCTAATAATTTCAACTGACCTGTGTGAAATTTCGATTTTGATAATCAATGTTAAACGTTTCAAAAGTTATTGAACTTTTCAGTCACATCAGTACTGAACATTTAACATTAGAATAAAATATCAGTAAATAACATATAGTTGATCTACTTTGAACATGGTTGCCCTTTTTTTCATTCGCCGATCACTTGAGGGTTCACAACATATCGCACCGTCTTTGCGAGAAGAAAGCAAACTGATCAAGATAATTTACGACGTCCTGGCGAAGTCTGACAGTAATCCGTGTATATTCTGCTCATTTGCAGAATTTCTGTGCCAGTTGCGATGATGTACAGCAGCTGGGAAACCATTAAGGTAATCGCGGCTACGGTGATCGTCAACCTGACGCTGGCGCCTGTGGTCGTGCTGAGGCCGTGCTGGGGTCGTGCTGGTCGTCGTGCTGGTGCCGTATTTTCAAAACTTGTTTAAGTACACGCAGCGGCCAATGTCTCATCGATGATTAGTGGGTTTAGACTGAAAAACCGCCATTTGATGGCTGATTGAGTTACGGACCCTTAAATATTCTTGAAATTACCCCTCCCAATAAGCATGGCGCTGTTGGTCCAGTCCATCGCCAACGTCCCGATGGCGCTATGCTCATGTGCGTCACTCCCACACTCGTCTGCACTTCACGGCGGCTCTCAGCTTTGTCACCACAGTTAGGCACAAATATAATAAATATATTATATACTGTAACATGTAATTTTAAACTTTACAAAAATACCTAGGTAATTTTACTTTAATTTAGAAAAATCTGAGTGCCGACATGACATGCACTATGCAGTACAACGCTGCGGCGCATACTAATTAATATTCGAAGAAATTTATTTAGATGAACTTTCACTGCTAACAGACAGGTTCATCACCAATTGTATGGGTCTTTTGCTATGTAATTTATTTCGAAAAATTCTCAGTCCTAATTCTGTGGAGCCTCAAATTTGAGTTGCTTTTCGAAGTCTCCTATTTTCTTTATTATCGGTTCATCAGTTCAGCACTGCGACCTTTTGGTCTATTTAGAGCATCAACGAGGTGTCTCGCACGATTATTAAAACACAACTTGAAAATTAGGTTCACTAACGACTTCTCCAATACTACCATAAAAATTCAAATACATTATCCTGTTTTAAATAACCGTTAGAGTTTGAATTTAACTTAGGTAATAAGTCGGCAGAGTCGACACTACGTCACTATACGAGTCATTGCCGAGGTTCAGATGATATTTGTATACAAGGGACATTTTTTCTATTGAGTTCGAACTCATAGCATGAGACTGACAGTGCACGCCAGTACCAGCTGCATCACAATCCATCATGATTGCCAACAGTAAACACATATATATAATATATCATCAAGTTACAATGGTTACGATCGAACATTTTACATTCCTTGGGATGTCAGCAATCATATTTTTTTATTTTTCATTAGAAGCCACCTTACAATTGAAATTGAATATCCATTTCATTACGTCTTCATCCAATTATATCTGAATCTGCATAATTTATAAGTATACAACGATTAATGGAAAATTTTTTGCTGAAATTTTATAGATCAGACATTGATACGACAGCATAAGGTGAATTTATTTCCAGCGCTTCTCGCTAGGTTTGCGTCACTATAATTCTTCCAGGGTGTTAATTTTTTGTGATTAATTTATACATCCGATAATGTTGGATAGAAATTGAATATCAGGTGGATTCTTTGCTGCCTTTAACCTCCGGTAATATTAAATGTAATTCACATTAAATTGGCGTCATCATTTTTCTTAGGTTAGGATTGCCAAATTTTAAATGCACGATATCTCTTTAATTATAGCCAAATTGATGTATCTCAAGTACGATTTTAAAATAAATAAGTATTCCGACAAAAATATCATGATCAATAGTTAAAACTTTACAGGCTTTTTAAGTACAATTAAATATTTAAAAATTGGGAATGCAGTGGAAATATGTTCGTGACTTATTTCTCCGGCGACACGGCGAAGGCGACGTCAGAAAGAAAAAGACTTGAAAGACTTGAGTTTCACACTTTGAAAGACTTGAGTTTCAACAGAGTTACAATCGCAAGTTGCGATAACAAAGCTTGATGCTGTGTAATGAAGTGAAAGAATCTATGTGGAGCTGGAAGGTCAATAGATAAACCGGTTTCATATAAGTCAGTATTTCGTAGGTCATATAATGTTCTTAGACTTACGTCCCGGCATGACACTACCAGCATATGGTCGATTAGCCAGCACTGCACTCAAATGATTAATCGATTGAGGTTCAATCGAACAATCAATGCAATGTATTACTAAAATCCACTGGGAAGGTAATAAAAATTCATGAAATGTGACCATTGCATTGTTAAAGGTGTTTTTGTGCTAGACTATTGTTTGATTTAATTTTGCTGAGCCGTAAGCTGCGTCTTCTTGGATAACAGATACTAGCACTAAAGTAAAACACTACGCGTCAAAATTTATTCATTTCCCGAAATCTTTGGTCTGATTGGTCGAGGGCAGTTATTTTATTGTTCACGAAAATTATACCCAAGGTCCGTATGCTGTTATTAAATTCTGCACCTTTGATAAACACACTATAGAGCAGTGGTTCCCAAACTTTTTCAGCCAGGTGCCTCTTTTGGCTCCCCAGCTAGTGAATGCCTAGTGCTCCCCTCCCCCCCGACAGACGCGTATAAAAACAAACGCCTCTTTCTTGATATTTAGTATGCTGCAATTTCAAAAGTGAAAGGCTAAACACAAATGTGTATTTCACAAATAGAACCCCATTTAGTATACCTATATATTTTTTTACAGTTTTAACTGTTTCAGCACTAGAAATTCAAGACGGCTCAACCAAATTTACGACCGGACTTGTGGCTTGTCTCGCTGCCGGTCTCACGGCCAATCTCCAAATTCAGTGACCAAGGAATATCTCCCAAACTAATGAACGCAGCTCGATAAAACTTGGAACACATATTCATTAGGACCTAACGGTGATATTTAGCTCGTAAAAAAATTTTAAATTTCACCTTCATTCGGGGGTTATACATGGCGATACGGGCCGAAATTAGCAGTGATCAAAGAATTTCTTCCAAACTACTCAACAGATTTGATCGAAATTTTGAATATAAATTCCCAACTACAAAAAAATTATTTTTAGCTCGTGAAAATTTATTCCATTTGGAGTCATGTTCTACACGTGTTATGTACAAATCGTCAAACAAGCGTACGAACTTCTGACTTCGACTTCGCGGACTGCCGCCCCCCAACTGCCTCTTTCTTCCTCACCGCCCCCCCCCAGATCATTCCACCGCCCACAGGGGGGCGATATCGCCCACTTTGGGGACCACTGCTATAGAGCGAACTATTGTTTGAATTCGTCAATGCATATCAAAATATCAAATTTTTGTCAATATTGTGAAATTACTGTTGAAATGGGAAGAAGTATTCCACAGTGATAGGATTTTTTTTTAATAGTTCGAAAAGGGATCGAGTATAAGAATGGGAATGATATATAGAATAGAAGAATAGAAGTGTCGGCACTGAAGAAATAGGCCCATGGCCTGTTGCCGATTCTTGAATTTTTCGTGACTTGATTCACAAGGGATCCGGCCTTATATGTATATCGTTCAATGATAAAGCTTCACGAAATGATGATGAACTCGTGAGATTACTAGAGCGCAATTTTTAGATAGCAGTAACGGTTGTCGCTTCAATTAGTGATAAGTTGTTGGAAAGCTCTTAATGCACGCCTGACTCGAACACTTCTGTAGCCCTGGTTGAAAGCTTATTGATCAACTTGCTGGCTGCAAGGGAGAAACACGTGCATTTTAATAATACATAGTATAATATTTTTAAATTCACTCGCGTTCCAAAAGAAAATTCGAATGGACATGAAAATTTGATAAATATTCTGTTGAGGTATTGGATGATTTATGTACTTTGGTATACATTACGTTAAATTAAAGAAAATAATGCATATAATGTTGCCAATAATGTATATTTTGCAGCATATAAACCATATTATGCAGCCAATAATGGATATCTTGCAGCCAATAATGCATATTTTTAGCGTATTTTGATCTGATAACGCAGGAGAGGCAAATAAAAGTGCGTTGTAGTTGCAGAATAAGATTTTACTGCAGTTAAACTTGCTCTACGATGTGACATGTTTGCCCTCTAATTGCTATGCGGAGAAGAGCAAAAAAATAATAATAATAAAAAAAATAAATAAAAAATCGTGTGAACAAAATATCTAAAAATTAGAAAAACTTTCGAGGCTCTCTAGCATGTTAATTATATACTCTAGAGATATATAAAAATTGTTGTAATTACAACCAAACAATGCATAAAGTGAAGCTAGCAATTTACAAAGAATCATGGTTACATTGGTAAATTATGTACTCGGAAATTTACAGTTTAATTGCCTTCCCGATTGATCTGAAATACGTTGCCATCATCCTGCATGATTAAAATTTCGGAACTATATAATTTAATTTAATGTTTAAAGTATCAATGCGAAAATAGATTTATAATCTCCTTTGTTGCTGAAACACCAAAGTTTCAACAACAAAGGGTCATAAGTTAAAAAAAATGGTATCGATCTGCTGGACTGTCGCACGCAATGCACAAGGCGAAGGTTTCTTTCCAGCACTGCTTGAAGACTTCATTTAATAAATGTTTTCAAATTCATTCGAAGTGAATAATGATAAATATATTCCTGATTTAGTGGCTCAAGAAAACAGTTTTGAAATCAGTGAACAGATTTAATATGTAATCAAATTTTGAGTGCTTGCAAAACCTTTATATTAGCAACAGGTTCTTGTAGTGGGCCTCTGAAATGTCTTAACTCATCGATATATTTGACTTTATGAAATGTATGAGCCGTCGTTCTGTATGGGCTCGCATGTGGTGCTTGATTTGGCCAGGTACGTTAAGATCTCTGCCAGTGGTTGAAAATTGAAGAAGTTGCCGCCTCCTTCCTTAAAGCCTGCACACTATATAGGTTTATATGTCTTGTGAAACGCGATGCTAAACGTGAAGACAACCGTTCGAGAAAGTAAGTTATGGAGCAAAACCAAGTAAAAATGTGAAAAAGTTCCTATTTTGTGATGCGGGTAAACTAACTCTTCTCACATCGCAATTCTGATTATAACGAAAGCAGCTTTAAGAGGTGGTCGTGACAATAAGAATTAAAACATTCGTCGAATAATTGAGCAACAACAGAAGTTAACTGTTACCTAATATTCTTCGTATAATATCGAAAGGATATTCAGGTTTGAACGCTGTTATGTTAGCCTGTGGTATGTGCCTATGATTTGCTCAAAAAATGGGCTCTATGTGCTGGCATCTTGAAAACGGGGTTGATATGGAAAATAATTGATTTTTTTTGAAACCTTGATAAGTAAAATAAATTTTGGTGCAAACATATCCGATGGAAAATATAAGAAATAGGGACTGTTGGTGTCATATTTGTACATTAGTGAAAAAATAAGCCATTCGCTCTAGTGTAGTATGAAATTATTAATACACTTGAAAAGTGAAATAATCACAGCTATCTTTCCACAATTAGTAATAAAATTTACACGAGTTTGTATTTGTGAAGTTGATTTTTTAAACACGGCAGGGGCTATTTGAAAGTTCAGCGTATAACCCGTTGGTCGTATCTGCCTGTTGGATAAGATTGATCAATGGTTATTCGGTCTTTATACTTTTTAAAAACTCTGTTTGGTAGCCCTAGGGTCTCGAGCGGTCAAGAGATAAATTTCAAAAGGACGTACAAATGAGAAAAATTTCCAAAGGCAAGATTATATCCGAGATTGTAAAATCGGATACATAACAGTCGAATTTAATTGTAATGCTTTTATGACCAAATTTATTTCCTAACAAAGATTAGTTGAAGATTGCTGGTCAGAATTGAAGTGCTTTTTCTAATTTATAATTCATTGTGAGTAAAATTTCGTGATTCATCAAAACACATTTTGATAATTCAAACATTCATGCCAAAAGAAAGTGAAAATTATCTATAATCAGGATTCAATCATAATCATCTCGGGTGCAAACATTAAATTAATGATGGCAGTCCTGCTTTCAATGATGGATTTTTTTATAAATTTGATTTTATACGCACACTTCTGTTTATTTGCTGAGCATTAGAAAAAATGGTTTTGTATTATAATGGTTTTGTAAGTACGTAGTTGATGACTGTACCAAGCAAAGGGAAGAATGAAATTGTTTGATATTTTAGACTAGGGCATTTTCGTGACTATTGAACGGCAACATAGACGATATCTCGAGAAGATTTCAGTTTATTATAACCATTCAGAGAGCTGTAATGCAGAGGCCGCACAAGCCACCGATTCATTCTTATCAGAATTCTATATGTAAATTCATCACAGGAGCAGCTTTTTCAAAGTCAACCGACCGAGCTACGCTAAAATTGATCACATATCCGACTCCGTCGAATATTACTGGAGATTATTTACGATCAAGCTCGTTTTCTTTTACATTCGAGGCTAAGAGGACTAAGGTCCTGTTTTAATTACCGTTGATGAAGACCCCTTGGCATGTGCAAGCAAAAACCTCGGTGGCAGACGTGTCGTCAAAGTTTCCTTGGTAAGTAACGAATATGTTCAGGTTATTGTTCTGCCTGGGCGGACTCGTGATGCCGAAGATCGTCTGGTCCAGCACGCTGCCGTCCGACCAACGGAACACGCCGTCGCTGTCACGCTTTAGGCCCACAAATGTGTTCTCTGGGTTAAAAAATTATTACATTTAAGATGGATAGAATGAAATCTCTGGATAAAAAGGTGTGTGTGAAAGAGCCAAGTTGATCGTGCGATAAGGAGTGAAGGTCACGAAAAGTCCAGACTTATTCCTTGATTTGACTGTTTTATCATATTGATGCTATATTATGTGGTCACATTTGAAAATAAGGCCATAACTGGCCAGTGGCTGGATCCAGCGATCACAAAATTTCACGGCTAGCTGATTCTCAAACCCGCAACTTCCTCCTTCGAACTTGATTATCTTAGCCACTCGGCCATCATGATACTATAATTACTATTCGGATAAATACTAGTACATGGAGAGAAAATGTCTGAGATGAAAAGATGATTTAAAAGTAAACTATAGCTTTGAATATGAATTCATACGCAAGTGCATTAGTCAAAGGTAATGAATTGTTTGCTTACTCAATCGTTTACACCATCGGCTGTAATTCTGAGAAACAATCTAACTTAAAAAGATTAAAAAACGATGTTAAAATTAGATTACAACCAAATGCAACGATATGAACAGATATTTAATAGAGTAATATAGCATCATATATGGTGGAATACGTCGTATAAATTTCGACTTAAATTTAAAACTTCAGCTGGGTGAGAATAACTGAGTTACATGCAGGGTAAGCATTCTCACTGCTTTTGATGAAATCGAACGACGCCTTGGTTTTGACGACCGGGATCCTCATGCCGGGGTGAGAGCAGCGCGCTGCGCAGGAGATGTACGACGTGTATTCGTATTTGTTGTAGAAAAGACCATCTGCTTGTTTTACGAAATTTTCTGAAATGAAAAATATACGTATCACAGAAATTGAGAAACAAAGCAAGAAAAGTCGCATCGCTGGTGGAACTTTCTCTGGTTAGGTCTAATGTACATCGAGTGCATTAGCATCGCTGGCTACCCACGTACCCTGAGCTAGTTCATTTATTGTTCCAGTTTTTGTGAAGCTTCTGAATGGTCTTTTTATATGATTCTGCAATCTTTGATATTATTAAACGTTATTTCCCAGATGGGCATTACAAGCACGCATCTCGATTTTGCTAAGAAACACCACATTTCGAAAGCTACGACCTGCTGTGGCCGGATTATCCTAATATTGCAAAGCACAAGTAGCGACTTACGTAGTGCGTATGTACTGACAAATAGACGCAACTCGAAACGGTGGTATTATCAAAACGTTTCGGCGCAAAGTTACGTCCAGAAGTTGTACTTAACTTTGCGCCAGCTCCGAGAATAAGTGAGTCGAGTTACGCAAAACATTTTGGAGGGTGAAGCGATTTGAACTTATCTGGTTAGGTTTGTGTATAGTCATGTTTTGTGGATGTGATCGACGTTTTGCAGCTTAACAGTTTGAATACAATTTGTACAGAACTGAATTCCATTCATCACTAAATAAAAGAATTACTTTTTTAGAATTAGAAAATTATTGAAAACCTTTCACGTAACCGTCATTTGTACATTACTCAGGAAAAATTGCTATGAAACAGACATATATAATTATATATGGTGTACAACATATCAATGGAACACGTGTGATCAAAAACTAGGTTATAAATCACACTAACAACTAAATAACAACTAAAACATCAAACTTAACATGAAAACTCATATTAAAGTAGGCATCTACGTAAAACTGAATGGTTTAGATAAAGTTAGCACTGAAAAATCAATTATTGCGTTCACTTATTAAGAGAAAAAACGCTGCACGTGAGTTCACCCGAGTAGTAGTAAGTAGCGCCGCTGGACTGCGTCGTCTTGCCGAGCTTGTCGCTGAGAGCGCACGCGCCGCTCGCGTTGTAGGAGTGCGCGATGCAGCGCCCGTCTCTTATACACATCTAGATGTGTATAAGAGACAGCATANACAAGAAGTGAAGTTTGTAGCTGACAGACAAACAAACAACAAGAAGTGAAGTTTGTAGCTGACAGACAAACAAACAACAAGAAGTGAAGTTTGTAGCTGACAGACAAACAAACAACAAGAAGTGAAGTTTGCAGCTGACAGAAAAACAAACAACAAGAAGTGAAGTTTGTAGCTGACAGAAAAACAAACAACAAGAAGTGAAGTTTGTAGCTGACAGAAAAACAAACAAGAAGAAGTGAAGTTAAAGAGAAGTGCCGTAAAAAGATGAGGTCTCTGACCTTGTCAATCAATCGGTTATTTACAGAATAGTCTCAATTGGTAGCGACAGCTTCACTCGTCCAGGCTTCAGACTTCAACTCACCCAGCGTTTTTCAAGAGGACTCTGGGACTCTGAATGTAATTATAGTGAAGCGAGTCTTAAAATTTTTGTCATGCAAAATGTATATTCACGATTTATTGCTGTTATTTTTCAAACCAATACTTAAAACGAAGTTGAAATATCACTTAATAGTCTTTTCACTAACAACTTTCAAATGCTAACAATAATGAATTTAATATTGACTTCATGTGTTCCGACGGAGTTGATAAAGTTGAACATAGCTGCTGTTCCCAAACATTCACGTGTGTTAGTTCAACTCTTGCCCAAATTCATTTAGGAAATGATTTATTATCAGTAATCAAACAGATGGATTCGTCCCTATTTCAACAACGGCAGTAATCAATTTAGTAATCAATTTCTCCTTTCAGTCTTCACGCATAAATTAGAGGATAGAAATTCTATACAAGTTCTATTCATTGAATAACTCTATACATCATAAGTATAAGCAAACAGATTGATTCGTCACTATGACAACAAAGATAGCTAGTATAATAAATTTAGTAATTATTTATTCTTTCATTTTCTCACATATAGGTTTGAGGTGCGAAATTTTCCAGATCTTATTTTATTAAAAAAATCGTTAATGAGACCTGACGCGATGCCTTCACATACCATTAGTTCCCTCGAAAAATAAAGCAATATTGTGGTTTCTTAATTAATTGCTTCTTATTTACGCCGTAAAATATCAATGTTCGCGTCCTCCATATTTGGGTTACGTTTCTACATACTTCTAGCGGTTGGATGTTGTCCCATTGATTTTATCCTAAGAAGTTTAAAAAATGAGGAATGTCAATTCCATTTGTTTTTATTGTTGGGATCAAAACTGCCATTAAGTTTTTAAATTTTTACGCCATTGTTTCGTGGTTCTCGTATTGAGGCTTATTGAGGATGGCTATATAGTTCTGTGTGGATATTATTTCAAAGAAATATCTGTTTTCCAATTTTAGTTTATCGTGATCAAATTAGAAAATAGACTCCGGGAACATTGTTATAAATAATAACAAATGGCTATTCCTACATGGAGAAATGGTTACCCCAACCAATGAAATACTTTACTAAATTATAACACGTAAATACGTCCTATAGCCCCACACAAGTTCACACGCGAAATTCAACTGACGGTAGCGAGCGCAAGACGCCCCAAGTTCCATGACGAGCGACCTTGCGACGGAAAGTTGCTTGCGTGTCCAGCAATCATGGCACAAATTTATGATGCACTTCTCAATTCTTTTGGACTCGGCAGAACTTCAAGGTACCTCCTCGACGTTTTAATTAATAAACTTTCAATGTAATATGTTAGTTATAAAAACTATAAAGTTATAATGTAAAATAAATTATCAGTTAAGCTCTTCTAATAAGTTAAATTGTGCTTTTAAAAAAAAGCTCAAACATTGTACCTTAGAAGTAAGATGAGGAAGATGTCCCCGTGAGGTTCCAAGCCTTTGAACTAAATCTTTTATATCTTTAACATCATAGAACGAATGCAGTATCTTTATTTAACCGACAGGAGATTTCGGACCTTGCATCATGAAGCCGCCAATTCGACGTGATGAGAACCTCTAGCGATGATAAGCTGACTTTTGGCTATTAATTACATTAACTTGAGTATTTTGATTATATTTCTGCTGGAGTTACAAATCGTATGTGAAAACGTGGAATCGTTTTCAGCGGTGAGCCGAGCGTAGCTGATTTGATATTAAGAGCATCATCCATCGATATTTAGAGCAATGTAGTTAGTCCACATGCCACAAACGTATTGACGTCAATTTTTCGACCCCTTTTTGTGTTTAGTGTTGGATTGATATTGCTGCGATATAGTGTCAAGCAATATTTTACATCATATACAATTTGATTTGATGTTCAAAACTAATGAGATTACGTATTCATTTACAAATGGTGTATTCGGTTTGAGATGAAGTATAGAGGCATTGCACAATCTTTCATATAAAGGCGTTGCTCTGGTAAAAATCCCTTCGCTTCTCGACACAATCCTCTTGAATGTCCAGAAATTAAAACTAAAGTGAATTTACCTTCAAAATCCTATAAACAAAATCCTATAAACTGAGCTCAATCAGAGAGTACCTGACTTGCATACGTTGAAGATAAATGCACGTACTTGTGTGCGTTTATATGATACACCTAAATGATCTTAAAAATTTATTGCCAACACGTTGGAAGAAACCCACGACGATTTTACGTTTGTATTAAGTTTTCCAATTAGAGTTCAGACTTTGGAATAGTTAAATTACAAGTCCATGCAAGTCCAGGACAATTGCTTCTCAGCGATAGGTGTCATTAGACAGCAACTCCAGCAGTCATTAAAGTTCATGTCGATTTGATGAACGATTCACTTTCTTTGATATTGTATTTGATGGCGTCGGAATTACTATTTACCAACGAACTGCAGTGAGCGACTCAAACTAAATATGACGGTTTGAAGGGGGCACCAACTAGAAACACTTTAATGATAATATTTAAAAGACGCAGTTGTTTTATTGTTCAACAAATTCAACTTCCATTATAAAAACCTTTGAAATTATTGACTATAGGTGATAAACGACTGAAGACGGTGACAATGCCAGTCACAATAGCTTACAATAAACACAGAATTATTTTGGAAGTTTTCTTGCGTTACGCATTCTTCGAGTTTTATTTTATAATTGAATATAAACTTTCCCTCTACTTTGGCAACACCGTTTAAAGTTAACGTCGCTTTCACAATTTCCCTTTAGTCATTATTGTTAGGCTGATCCCCGATGCAGGTTAGTTTAAGCTTTCATGGGTTTCTTTTTATTATCTTAATACTTGTTATATTTTATCATTATTTCTTTGTTCATCTTAAACGACGATTATTTATTAGATCTACTCTTAAACAGTTGCTTGCGTTGCCAAGGTATTATTTAAACTAGCTTCCCATAACTAAATATTTATTTTCAAAGACCACCTTTGTTATTAATTTACACTGCAATAAATTTCCACTTCTAGTCTCTTTTCTTTTCCAATCTTGCTTACTGTGTATGTAATGACTGCTTTTAGTTACGACACTTTGTAACTCAATATACCCGAGTGAAGAAATATATGCAGAAACTCTGTGTTTTCCATTATTCGGCAGGAGCTCCATTAATGACGGTGCGCATGTCGCGTGCGTGAATTAGTTTACGTGCACCAGTCGCAGATGTACAAAGCCCTCAGCTGTACTAAGCCTCAGAGCATAATTTCATTCGGATCAGCATAACATTGATCTTATATTATAAAGACTGGAATACATTTTCTCAAATATGAAATTCAGCTCGATGTCTCTTTACCTTGGTATAAATTGCGCCCCAGTTTTATCGCCTGAAATATCATGTTAGACAAATTCGCATCTTACGAGTGAAACTTGAATGAACATTTTTTTGTATTTAGGCAAAGTCTACGATTTTCTAGCCAGTTACAACAGATGCATTTCATAAAAATTTATAATTAACAGAATATTTTTTGATTAAGAGGACTCAGTTATGAATTATGTGGAAAGAAGATAAAACAAGCTTCAGTTTTATTGCGATAATAAAGAGCATGGTTAGCGTTCAAAAAGTGAGGAAGAGAGCAAAAAAAAATAGGTAGTGATTTTCTATTTTTATCGATATCGAGTCGCCTTTGAACGTTCAAACATTTTCACGCTATCACGTATCACAAATGCGTCTTCAATGAATGAGTCTTCGTTACATTAGTCTTCGATAAATGAGTCTTCGATTTTCAAAGTTGAGAGAAGGGTCAATTACACAACTACATTTCCGGTTTCTAATCATTAAATTTATTTTCTCTTAGAATCAACAAGTTTTTCCATAAATATTGAGTTTCTGGGAGGCTCCACTACATCAGCAGGATCCATCACCTGGGGAGAGTGGATGACTGAAGGGAACATAGGCACTCGGAAGATGGAATTACTCGCGCCGAGTCTGCCACGAGTTAGTCTTTGGAGGCCAATTCCCCCATTGAGCGCGCCTATCGTGAGCATATCGAGGGAAAAGGCATCGCTCCGCGGTAGCACCAGGAGAGCCAGCATCAGAGCCACCATCACGAATCGTACCTGCAACATACGGAACAGCTCATCAGAATAGCCATTCCAATAGCTGATAGTCATTCCAAGATATTGAAAATTTCAGCGTTAAGAAGAACTCACCACAAGAACAAATTTTCGGATATTCGAGTTGAGCAAAATTGAAATGAGGAGAATCGCATCCTACATCTCGTATAGACGACAGAACGCGGGATTAGATAGTCTAAACAGGCAGATTGTGGTAACTAGCAATAAAAAAAGTCGTATGACAATGTATCTTAAAGAAACTTCTGCAACTAGTTTCAAATACGAAAAAAATTTTAAGCAGTTGAGGTCTAAAAATTATAATTCTATTCAATGTTTATTCTGTCAAAAAAATTTATATAATTATAAATGTTTACCGAGGCGCGAGATATCAGAAATAATCGTGAACACGTCGGATTTTGTGGGAGGGAATTGCTATTCACGCACAATGTAAAGGTTCTAAGCGAGTGATGTTGACAGTGAGTTCCTGCTTTGCATATAATGTTTTTATTTCTACTTCTACACGCACACA